TGCCACCTGGCTGCTGGACGCCCGCGGCCTGCGCCTCACCGCTCTCCTGGGTGCTGGCCTCAACGGCCTGGGCGCCTGGCTCAAGTGTGCCAGCCTGGCCCCCGACCGCTACCCGCTCACCCTGGCAGCTCAGGCCGTGTGCGCCGTCGCCCAGGTCTTCATCCTGGGGCTGCCCTCACGCATCGCCTCTGTCTGGTTTGGCCCCACCGAAGTCTCCACCGCCTGTGCTGTGGCCGTGCTGGGCAACCAGGTAGGGGCAGCGAATGGATGGGGGCAAGGGAGAAATCAGTTTCCTTAGAGTTTGGTGTGGCATTGAGTTAAAAATAAGTCATTTAAGTGGGGAAAAACCGTTTTCCAACACATGGTTATGGGGTAGCATCAGTGAGAGGAGGAGTGATGGAGCTGGGGCAGGCATGGAGGTGATGTTACATCCCACCTTGCTTGGCAGGACCCTGGCTGTGTGGCAGTGCATAGCAGCTTGCACGCTAGACAAGACCCTTTTCAGAAGCCGTCCTGCAGCACTTTCTCTTCTTCTTGTGTTTGGCATCATTCATCTTCCTGAATCCACCCCAGCTGCAGTGGGGTGAAGTATGTGAACTTTCATGGAGAGCCCCAATGACAACACAGATTGGTTCCTGCTTTTAAAATACAGCCTTGGATCAGTAAGTGCTCGTAGTTGAAGTCCTGGTGATTCATGAATTTTTCTGTAATGCTGTGATAGTTCATGTCACTGTGGGGAGCTTATAACCAAGTCATGGATTTTCTTGAGCTCCGTGGCTCTGGCCAGTTTCAGAGAGCTGGAACAGGCCTATCAGAAAGCACAGGTGTAGGTATGATGCTGATGGTTTTTTTTCCTCCCCTAGCCTTGTTCTCACCCCCTACTAATGTCCCTGCTTTTTTTGTGGCAACAAAATGTTAAGATTCCCATCAACATCACTGGCACAGGCTGAGGTCGCAGGTACGGTTTGATTAAGGTAACTCATGTGAGTGTAATGATTTTATGTTTGTGCACTTTGGATTATTACAGTGGTAATATTAGCGTTACATATTTACAGTTAGGGTTGCTCATTATCTCATACCTGGCTGGTTGCAGTTTTCCCAATGCTTTCCCAAAACTATTTTTTTTTTCATTGAAATCTTAGGGTGGACAAGTCAGCCGTCCCTTTTGGACTGAAGACTTTAGGGGTTGTTGGTTGGTTGTTTTAGCAGCTGAGCAAACATTTTGCATCTGCATCCCAGAATCAGATTAAAGGTAAATTGGCAGGTAAATTTCCACTCTTCCTGACACGAACCAGTCTCCCCAGTAGCAAGGAGTTACTGGGCTTTCAGTTTTGGAGAACAGTGCCAACCAGGGATCCACCTGGGAGTCTGAAAAGGATGCTTTGCTCGGATGCTGAGATGTGGAGGTTGAAGTGGGGAAGGATGGAAGCAGGAGTGCAGGAATTGTGCTGATAGGAACCACGAGAAAGATAGACGAGGATAACAGAAGCAGAGGTGTGAACAAAATAAACCGTAGTTATTTCTGGAGTGTATTCCCCTCCAGAAGCTAGGACTGATTTTGGTGTGCTGATGTGCTTGGTGGTCCTCTGCCAGGGAAATACCCACGAAGTGCACTGACAAAGTGTTTCATCTCCCTCTGGAAGTCTTGCGCAGAGGAGAATGGCTTATTCTGCAGCTGTGCCTTACCCTGCTGGCTCAGAGCTGTGTGCTGCAGGGGTCTTAGGATCCCAGTCCTGGTGTGGCCCACAAAGACTGATGCAGTGTCAAACAATATAATTTTTGTTCTCAATTTTTGCTTTCTTAAAACTTCACAAAAGCTAATTGAAAGAGTAGTAAAATGATGAATTAGGCACTCAGAAGTTGGAAATAATGTCGGTATATCCCAATGCAGTTCACTGCTGCATGTGCATTACAGTACAGTTTCACAGTACTTGTTTAATTGCACAAGGTGAACTATGTAACAGAATCAGGTTGCTGTAAAGAACTGGGCTGTCGGTTATCCCATTCCTTATCAGATGTTTTGCATAATTTCAGAACTACGGCAAACAGGACTGGTTACCACAGGCAGTGGAAGGACAGAGAATTTATCAAAAATCAGATTGCACCTGTTGCCTCTTGAGATGCTGATCTTTTGCAGCTGAAACACAAATCACTGGGACTGCAGCGATGTACCTGTTAAGGGTTGTTAGGAGTGCCAGATACCCACAAGTATTTAGCTCACCGATCCTGCTGGCCTCTCTAGATGTAAAAAGTGAAAAATGGTATCACTTGACTCTCTTGGAATATTGTGGGTACTGTATTGCTTACATTGGGGGAGGAAAAAACATTCCTTAAGATAAAGAGTAATTATGTGCTCAGTTCATGTTTGTAGAGTTCATATACTGGAGGGTGAGGGTTAAAGGAAACAAAAACTTCAGGTGAGCACTGGATACTGTGTAAATCTGATGGTCTCTGGGAAAAAAAACCAGCAAAACCCTCATCAGGCTTATGCACAAAGGCTGCTTTGTAAGCACCTTGGCACGCCTCTAATTTGAGTACGTTCTGAGTGTTGAACTTGTTACTCTTACAGTCTTAGGTGCTTTTTATATTATTTTTCTTACTTGAAACAGAGTAATTTTTTAGCAAAAAAAAAAGTTCATATACTTAAAAATGCAGCTTAGTTTTGAAGGAGCAGCAGAGATAAATTGCAGAGTAGTGTAAGACTGTTGTTCCTTTATGTTTCAAATGCTTTATACATATACCCACAATATAAGTCCTTGTTTTTTGTCTTTTTTTAGTACAGAATCAGTTGCTATTTTGGAATTGACTCCAGATACAAACCCACTACTCCTTTATTCCGTGATTCTTCTTTCTTTCCTTAGCAATAATTGCAGATGTGAGTTTTATTTTTGTTTCTTAGTGAGGATGCTCCTTTTATCTTTCTCTTCTCTGCTCTAACAGTACTGCAGTAAACCTTGCATGTCAGCCTTTATTTCTCTAGTGCCAGGATTGTGACATTAAATGCAGCATTTTGATCGAGAAAGAGAAGTGCATTTCTACAGGAGGCAGCTGGAGTCTTCTGTCATCGCTAGTCCTTCAGTTACAGGATGACCAATACAAATTTCTGTGCATGCATAGTATTTTCCTGTGAAAGATTCTCAGGCAAAAAAAACTTCCTTAATGCTTGGCTGTTCAATGTGCTGTATACTTGGTGTGGTGTATTGTAGTTTAAATTAGAAAAGAATAGGTTAAAACCTGAGTTACTGGAGAGCTGACTATGAAATCTTGAGATCAAATGGCTCAAAAGTGTGATACTAAAGGAACACTTTTCCTTCATGGTTTTATATTTAATATGATATAAATTTTGAATTCTACTTGGTAAGGCTTTTCACTGCTGCGAATTTTTGTGTTCACAAGGAAATTATTTTTGTGTTTCTTTTCTTGCTTTACAGCTTGGCACCGCAATTGGCTTTTTGTTGCCACCTGTTTTGGTTCCAAATACACCTCACGATATCGATCTAATGGCACATAACATCAGCATCATGTTTTATGGAACAGCAATAGTGTCCACGCTTCTGTTCTTCTTAACAGGAGTTGGTAAGTGCTGCGTTCTTGTAATGTAAATGGTGGGCCTAGGGAGTGTTTACAACACCTCACTTCAAGCATCTGACTTTGCCCAGAGTATCTGAGGTTACATTTTCTCAGGCTTACTTGTCTTCGCTTATCTGTTGTGCCAGGGTTAAAGCAACAACCAGTTTATTACTGTATGTTGTGCTTTGCGTGGAACAGCCCTTCCTAGGATATGCAGCTCACTTACACTTTTTGCTACCAGCAAAAATACAACATTATGATATAATATGATTTCTCTCTGTTATTCCTACAATTCAGATACGAAGGTCTAAGCACATTGCAGATAAAGTCTGTGTGTGACTGTATGTTGACAGCAATCAGACATGACCAAGTAATTAGCGCATCCGTTGTGACTGTAACTTGACTCTTCCATGAGAAGTGTTATAAACCGCAAATTAAACTTTTGAAATTCATCGAACTGAAACACTTCAAAAAGAAAAAGCATTAGTCTGCTAAAGACAAATCAAAATTGCTCCTTCTTCTTTTTCCCCAGTGTTTGAAGAAAAGCCCAAATACCCTCCTAGTCACTCTCAAGCAGTCCTCCAAACTCTGCCTCCCGAGGATTATTCCTACAAGCAGTCGATTATAAACTTGTTCAGAAATGTTCCATTTGTACTGCTGCTGATCAGTTATGGTAAGTGGTGCTGTCTGGCTGTAGTCTGGCAGAACGGTTGAATGTGTGCCGAAAGCACATCAAGTGTTAGTTGTGGTGGTGGTGGTTGATGAGGGAGGGAGTGTTGAAGTTTTACTTATTCAGCAGCCAGTGCTGGAAAATCTGACAGGATTCAAAATACCACTTGTAGGTCTGGTGAAGATATTTTACCTGGTAGGTTTTTGACACTGATGTGAGCCTTAAATATCAGAAGATTAACTCTTTAGGGCAGCAGATCTGTATGGCTACACCTGGAATGACTGTAGCTTTTCTTTTGGTACTGCAGGTATTATGACTGGGGCATTTTATTCTGTCTCCACATTATTGAACCAGATGATAGTAACTCATTATGAGGTAAGTTTCTTGGATCTTCTTTCTATATATTTTTGTTTACTGTACATTTGCAGTGGTGGTGTTTATTATTTAGGTGCTATGTGTGCTCAGACATTTGGTTTCCTTTATACCCCCCCCTCCAGTTTCTTGCACCATACAGCTATGGGAGTCACACAAATGTTTGTTTGCGCTTGTGACTGCCAAGAGGTCTGAACTTGACTCTGAGTGGAAACAAGTTATTAATGAGCACCATATAAATATTTGTTGAAAGGGAGAAGAAGTGAACGCTGGGAGAATTGGCTTGACACTGGTGGTGGCAGGAATGGTGGGTTCGATTATTTGTGGTTTGTGGCTGGATTACACTAAAACATACAAGTAAGTGTGGGTAGGCATGTATGGGGTTAGGGGTAGGAGAGCGGTGCAATTGCCTTAGAAAAAGACTGCAACCTAAGGGCTGAGGTGAACTCATGATATAAAATGCAGCTCATCCCTGATCTTTCAGCGGTCCTGCTGGAGACAAGTTTCTGAGGCTGCAGCAAAAGCTTGAGACTCTTATTGGTTCTTGGCCAAAAGAAATGAGAGAGGAGACTGCAAATATGTGAAGGGATTTGCTGTCTGCTCGTGTCTCTGCAGGCGTGTAATGCTAACAAGGAAAGCGCTGTATGTCCTATGTACAGTGGCTGGGTGGCCCAGTGGACTTCTTCTCCTGGGAAAGCACAGAGGCTCAAAACATTCTCTGTACTGTTTTGTAGAATGGACAGTTGATGTATTCTCATGTTTTTTGTACTACTCCTGGGCCTATTAGTAGGCATAACATTGATGAGCATGGACCAGAACTCTGTTCTGGGGTTGGAGCTCCTGGGTCCATCATCGTGGTATGGTGCCCCTCAGGAGTGGGCAGTGCCCTGGAGCACTGCTTGCAGTGGAGAAGTTCTCCCCTGATGACTCTTAGTACACTATGTGCAAGAGCTCTAGAAACCCAATGGATGTTAATACTGTAAATTTGGCTTTGTTTCTGCATGTGTTTTGGCTAATAAGTAAGTGATATGTGCTTTAATATTTTGGATGACATCCTTTGTTCCAGATTTAAAATATCATTGTAATGAGACTTGTTCAACTTGCCTCTTAAACTGACTTTTATTGCTAATAGTGTTGGATTTGGCTGCTCATGTACTGATGTATTGTATAATGGGCAGTGCTGCAGAATGGCCAAGAGGTACAACATAGCAAAGAGTTAAAATAGTTTTAAAGTAATTGTATCTGCTGTGATTGTCAATTCTTGAGAGTCTGAGTAAGTCTCTTAGCCTTGACGGAAGCAGCCATGTAACTAAGGCAATGAAGAGTTTGGGAAGGGATGTATTCTCACTGGATGCTATGTTTGAGTCAGAATGACAAGAAACAAATTTAATAGCTGTAGAATGTCAGTTGTTACAGAGTGTGTAATGTTTATGCTACTCTTCCATGCTTCAGCAATATGCTATGACCTTATGTCAACCATGTTAATTTTTTTGTTGTTGTTGGGTTGCAGGCAAACTACTTTGATTGTTTACATTCTCTCTTTCATTGGGTTGCTGGTATTTACTTTCACCCTGGACCTCGGATACCTTATAGTAGTGTTCGTGACTGGAGGAGTACTTGGGTGAGCAATTAAAGAAGACTAGAAGACTTACTGCAGTTTTGTTCAGAATCAAACTGTTTTAACTAAATGATTTAACTAACTAACTGTTTTAACTAAGTGATTCTACTGTATATTCTGTCACCATGCTCTCAACCTGTACCTATAGATCCCGGTATACATATGTTTTACTAGGGTTTCATCTTCTCTTACTTTAGATTTATTCTGATTTAACTCACTTTTCAGTGAATTTCATTTAACATTTTTGTGGGCCTAACAGAAATCTGTATGTGGTCAATTTTTTTTGTTCCAATTCAAAAAAGCTGTCTGCAGTAAAGCTGAATCTTTCTGTTGACCAGTGGATAAGTGATTATTGTTTAGCTGAGCAAATCTAGGAAGACTGACTTCTGTGCCTTTTGAGTAATCTATGTTTTGGTAGCCCAAGTGACTTGCTGGGTGCTTTGTTGCTCAGAATAGCATGACCACATCTCATAGATACATAATCTAAAAGCCCCAAAAGGTGCTGAGGGAATAGGGCTGTATCCAGCTGCAGCAGTCAAAATACAGACAGAAATGTCTTGAGAGTTTCAATCTAAAAACCAATCAACCAAATTCAACAGCATTAAACCCCTGCTCTTCCCATTACCCATTAGTACCTCCAGCTTCTTCTACAGCAGCTTCTAGCAGCCTTCCAGTGTGCAGCCTCAGTCCCTCCTGATGGACTCTTTTTGTCCCCCAGCATGGATATTTGGGATGATCAAATGATGATGTTCATGTGTGACTTTCATTTGAAAGTAATTGGCTTCAATTATGGACTGGCTTGGGGACTTGTCAGGGAAGGTCGTTTCATATGTATGGAGTGGAGTGCAGGTGGTTATAGGAAACAGATGTACATGTCTCTAAAAAGAGGGATGTATGGCAAAAATTGTTGGATGAGGTCAGGATAATGAGGCAAGCCAAGTATTGAATCATGTTAGGTCTTGAGAACAGAAGTCAGAATACCAGCTATTTCATAAAACCATGTGTTTGTGTTTGATTTTCTTAGCTGTAGTAACAGATGAAGGCCACACCTGTCATCCTCTTACTCTCCTTTTCAACAGGTTCTTCATGACTGGCTATCTCCCACTTGGGTTTGAGTTTGCCGTGGAAATCACATACCCGGAATCTGAAGGCACTTCCTCAGGTCTCCTTAATGCATCAGCACAGGTTATATCATTTTGTTTCTTCAATTGAAGTAGTATTGAAGAAGGGTGTTCTACTTGAATCTAAGAAGGCTTTTTTAGACTTGCCTGCTGTCTTTGTTGTGTTCTGTAGTCTTCTTTTTTTAAATTTGGTTTCTGTAAGACGTGACCTGAAAATCTGCAGCGTAAAGTGATGACTCGTTTCTTTGTGATCCTGATGAAGTGACTTGTTTGTTTATAGATATTTGGAATTGTCTTTACACTTGTTCAAGGAAAACTCACAACAGACTACAGTCCTTGTGCAGGAAACCTCTTTCTTTGTGCTTGGATTTTTGTGGGCATTATCTTAACAGGTAATTAATCAGAAATGTAACTATTTCTCTTTAATGTAAAAATGTGGAGGTTTTGGTTTTTGAGATTGTGAATTTCTGGGTAGTTTTTAGATGTTTCAGTCATCTGGGATTTAAATCTGTGGCTTCCTGTCTGGGCTGAGAACAGAAGTTATAAAGAAGTGCAGGTTTGTTTAGTTTTTTCCCTTTGTTTTTCCCTTTAAATATTTGCTGTGTTTGCTTTGTTTTAAGGATTATGTTGCTGATATATGGGCAGCCATCTGTCACCCATTTCTTGAGTACTGTCTTGAATTTGAGACAAATGTCTATATCCAGAGTAGGATAGTAAATGTAAACAAATACATAAATGGAGACAGTTTGCAGTTTTCCAAATACTGCTGATGTATTCCCAAACTGTACCAGTGACTTACACATGCTGGTACTTTCAAATGTGATGAAAGCACCAAAACCATCAAGCTTTGGTTTATGTACTCATGGTTTAAATACTTTTATTGACATTTTCTGTGTGTGCTTTGTGAGGAGCAAGTTCAAACAGCAAAAGAATGAGTACAAGTAATTTGAATATGTGCTGAAAGCAGCTTCAATGTGCTTGCACTGTACAAACATTTCCCTTGAGATACGTGTCATTGCGAAGTTGTGAACCAGCTCTCTCTTTATTTTTTGTTTCAGCCTTAATAAAATCAGATTTGCGAAGACACAATGTGAATTCAGGGATTACGAATTTGGATGTTAAAGCTGTAAGTGGTGACTCTTTAATTCTATTACTGCACTTGAATGCTTGGCTTCTATTGGCATAATAATATTAACAGCAAAAGAGTAATTGAAAAAACTTACAATATGACTGTTTCCATGCTGTTTTGGAACAACAGAACCACATGGGATGCTGCCCTCAGATATCTGTTTCTCCCCTTAGCTATCATGCAAAAAAACTAAAAGACCTTCTGCTTTCAGGTTTTTCTGAATTTTAAGTGGCTAATATTAATCTCTGATTTTTATTGCTTGAATCTTGCTTTTTCATATTTGCAGGTAGCATTGTAAATTGTGAAGCCTTTTTGTGTTTTGGGTTAGGAGGCTGTGCTATAGACTACATTATTTATTTAAAATACCTGCAGCCCCTTTAAGTGAACTCAGTGTCTGATGAACAGAAGTCATGCTGTCGTTTCTCTACTGTGCTGCATGAAGAGCTGGGTCCATTCTTCTGTTGAGTGCCCTCTAAATTTAATTGAAGAGTGAGCATAGCACTTTTTGCTGTTCAGGAAGTCCCTGTTTCAGCAGCTTTTCCACATTACCCCAGTCACTAGCAGAAGTAAGGCTGACACTGGAAACTTTTCACTGCTGTGGGGTTTTTTTGATCATTTGATCATTTTTTTGATAATGAAACGACTTTTTGGAGTCAGATATTGCAAGATCCTCTCTCACGCTTCTTTTTATGTGTAGGTGTCTTGCATATATAGCAGCATTTCATCCTCTGCAATCAGGTGCACACCATTAGTATCTGCCTAAAGTTCAGAAACTTCCAAGCTGGTGCTATATGAGCTAACATGAACCTATGCAGCTGTGTGTGCACAGTGTGTAATCCTGTGGCTGTACCAGCCTGGGTCGGGGCTATCTCGGGCATGTATGTGCTGACTATAGGCAGTGGTCCATGACTAGTCTGTTTTCTGTTATCACCTTGTTAATTAGCCTAGATTTTTGCATTATATTATTCATTTATATTAGCTAGGACATAACAAAAGCCAGGGGTCCACACCCTGATACTACCATAAACAACTGAGAGCTGCCTGTGTAAATAAGGTACTTTGAGACCAAACCTTGATCATCAAGATTCTACCATGTTTAAATGGAATGGAGAAAAAAATAAGAAAGTTAATCTCCATGTGATAAATATCTGTATGCAGTAAATATATACTTTAGAGTTACTTTTTTTTATTACAGAGAGAAGGGAAAATAGGGCTTTCTATAAATGCATAATTTGGCCAATTAACTACATATACTATTGGAGTCTAGCCTAGCAATTGCCCAAGAATATTGAGGTTGGGAATAGCTTCTGCTGAGTAACAGCTTAATTCCTGCTTTTTTTTCCTCCCCTCTCCAGGTACCAGTTGACAGTCCTGTAGAACCTGAAAGTACAACGTTAAAAGTTCAGTCGGCTTTATAAAGCTGAAAGAAGGTGTCTTAGAAATGCACAAGCTTGGTTGGATACTGAACAATATTAATTAGTATAATCACTGGATTTATTTATGAGCAGTAAAATGTGTTTGGTGATATTGGTGATAGTTGTGTGGTGAAAACTATGAAGGTGCTCAGTTCACTTTGCCCAAGATGCAAACAATTCACCTTTGTATGGAATATTTATTTAAACAGTTTTCAAGTTTTGCAGTTTCGGTAGTAAAGAACTGTGTGACTACTCTCCATGCTACAGAGACATGTACGTTCAGGATGCATACTTGAAAAAATCTGGAATCCTGAAGTACAGGCATCATGATCAGAAGTATCCGATCTTCTTTTCCCAAAGAATTGAGAGGTAGCTAATTTCATGTTCAGTCTTTGCTAGTGCATTTGCAAAGTCAGAGACTAGGTAGCTGCACAGCTGGAGGATGTTCACAAGTTTCTTTTTTTTTTAAATGTATCTGTACTTTTAACATCAGCTAACGGTTCCTTCTGCAAAACTGCCTATAGCACAACACTGAAAACAAGAGATGATTGCAAACGTGTGTTTCGTACTGGCATCTGACATTTCTTTTGCCTTGAAACTTCCTGATGGATATCAGAAGGCAGATAAGAAAAAACAGTGTCTTACAGATTCATTGTAACATTTCCAGGGAGATTTAAAGAGTTTCCCACTAATTACATTGAAGAAAAAACATTTCTTATTAAATACAGTAAAAATGTGGAGAAAGGCCCTTGATATCTCTCCTGTGAAGTATTTCTAGGCAATGGAATACTGCCACACAGGTTGCCTCCACAGAATATTTTGAGTGCTTTCTCAGTTAAAGTGAGAGGAGTACATGTTTACAAAGAGCTGGTGCCTTTACTCTGTAAAGAAGTTCCTTGCCTCATCTTTGGTTTAATCAGTGCTGCTGAAGAAATTCCATTTTGTCTGTTAAACCTCTTCTGAATATTTGTGGAGTATCATAAAATGTGTTCTGTCCTTTTTTGTGTTTATTTCTCTGTGTTATGAATTGTATCACTTGTCTCATGAAATTTTTGTGCTTACATAACTTAAATCATGTCTTTTGCAGTTCATTAAAAGCTGTAAGGATGACTGAAAAAAAATAGTGATATTTCACTGATAAAATACTTTATGTTTATATCACGTGTTATTAGATTGATCTGAATTTGGGATGTGGATTTCTCACTACAGTCCTTCTGAAAATACTGTCATTTACCTTGCACTCTATCTACACACCCACAGAATTGGTAGCACTACAATAATACTGAGGCCCTACTGTTACTGAAAAAGTCAGACCTGAGTTAGCGGACTTTTTGCAAACATTTAATCTTTAGCAGTTTTTAAGTTGAGCCTGCAGGTTCAGTACCATCAATGATGGCGTCTGTTTGAGTTCCCACAGATGTAGAGCCATCCAGAAGGTTGAATCTTACTGAAAGTTTTCCACAGATTGTTACAGCTGGGTATGGGGAACATTTTAACTCCAGGATAGTCTTTCAGCATGATAATTATCATTAATTGCTTTTCTTTTTATTTCACTGTAGATTTAGAGAATCCTTTTATATAAAAAGGATAAACTTAGCTTTCTAAACTTAGCCTCTAAACTTGATGATCTTGATTTAATATATGGTAAATGCTTCAGACATGGCAAGACAGAACGGCAATATACACACTTGGATGGGGCTTCGAGCAACCTGGTCTACCTCTGGTGGGGTAGTTGAATATAGCAAAGGTAACTCATAGATATTCAGATGGCAGGCAAGAGTTTAGGAGTGAAAGTAGAGATGCTTTCATTATGTCAGTGCATGACATTCAATGACTTGCTGTGATGGAAGCTGTCCCATGAAGGGATGTACGTGTTTTCAGCCTGAGTGAGCAAAGTTAAAGTTCCTGCCTTTTTTGATGACTCTGGGTGGCATTTCCCTTTGGAAAAATGATAATAATGTGTGCCAAAATATATGCATTCTTCTGCAAGATACAGATTCAGTAAATATTTGTGTTCATGTCCCCTGTTTACCTTGTACTTCTGCAGTTGTAAAATCTTCAGATAATATCTTTGCAGTTTTGGGGGAAGTGTTTTAAATGTGCAATAGAAAGTCTTCGGCAGTATCCAGAATGCTCTCTGAAATGTCCAGTACCCACTGTTCAAATTAAATGATTGAGCTTTTTTCTTCCTTTTTACAATTTATCTTTTAATTCATTTCCTTGCTACTAGTTTCCAGTTTTTTAGTTATGTTCAGCTGATTATTGAAAAAATATTCTAGCCCTTCTGTCCCCTTGTGTTTTTTTTATCTTCTGCCAAATTACTTGGCTTACCCTCTGAAAAGGTCCAAACAAGATTTTGGCATGCTGGAACCCCTGCTGGGTCCCTGAGAAGAAAATATTCCTAATAATGAAGGCTTAATTACATCCTGGATTTAATACTCCTCCTCTAAAAGGAACTTGGAAACCTGTGAGCTATTTCCAGGCAACGATAAAGTATTTAAAGAGAAGGCCGAGCAGCAAAATAGAGAGCAAATAAAGAAATAGCCGGTATTTTATGCAATAATCCTGTCATCTCTCTGTCAACAAGACAAGAGCTTTTAGCTCATGGTAGAAATAAGTTTGGGGTAGTTGGGGCTTTGGTCTTTTTGCTTTTAGTATTTGTTTTTAAGCGAACATCATCCACCCAATCAAACATCCACCTGGAACTGGAAATAGGGTTTATGACTCTCTTAGCCTTGAGATTGTGGCTCAGCCCTCCAGTAAGAGTAGAGGTAGGGGCTAAAAATTGTAACTGCTTAAAGAGGTAATCGTTTAGTGAATGGAATTACACATCAACTATGAGAGGATGGAGTGGGAAACCAAGTGAGAAGAGGCATCCCAATCCCATGCATCAGCTTTTGCATTTCAGTATGCTTTTCCTTTGAGTGCTTTGAGAGAACTCTAGAGGATGCAAGAGAACTCAGAGATTAGCCTTTAAAATAACTCTGTTTTCTTCTTGCTGTTAAACCTTTGCTAAGTTGAATGGGATGGACCCAGAGAACATTGACCCATTTTCATTTAGGATTCCTAATATGGCCTTAAAACCTTCATTGGTGTTGGCTGGGTGTGAAAATATCAAATCTGTCAGGCATAGAATTGCTGCAATGGGCAGCTTTCTTCATCAGCTTGGTAGATAAGTCCTTCAGAGCATTTATTTTGTAAATGGGTGCTTTAATAGCATCTCTTTGTTGCTGAATGCTTATCTTTTAAGAGGAAGAAAGAAGAAGGGAAGAAGGGAGAAGGATACATATGAATCACTTCAGGTTACTAGGACTTTCCTAACCTTATTCTCTTGGTCATGTCTTTTCATGAATACAGTCTGTTGTTTCAGAGACAATCACTGGAATGTGTCATTCGAGCTGCCAGCCCATGTTGCCTCATTAAAAATTGCTTTTTGAGAAATCTTTTGTCTATCTTGTGCATCTGCAACCAAGGGAAATTGGGTTAAGCTATCATCATTTATTGCTTTCGTTTTCCATTCTGTGAACTCATGAGTTTTCCTGTGTGAATGAGAATGTGTGACCTTTTCAGTTGCTGTCTTTCAGTACGTCTATGTACAGCTTCTTAAGTGTTACAGGCTACTAATGATTCGTAGACCACAAGCTAAGTTATTGTATCCCTTGTGATTTCCCCACCACCACCATTTGGTCTGAAGTCTGTGGAGAGCGAGAAGTGATGTTAATGCATGAACTAGAATGAATTAAGCAAAAAATATTCCTAAGAGAAATGTATTTCCATGTAAGAGAAGTGTTATTTACTGCTCATGTCTTTGTTCCTCTCATGAACATAGCAGAGATTTTTGCTGTAATATTTTGGTTTTGTTAGTGTCCCGTTCTTTGTTTCAAGAGAAAATTAAAAATTCATTATGAATATTCTCTGATTGCAATATTGTATGTATGTGTACATATGAGTGGCATCATTCCTTACTGTTATATGTTACTAATAAAGTGTGTAATGTGTAACTTGATTGGAGCCAAGATTACAATTTTTGACAGCTGCTGATACAGCTGATGGTCTAAAAATGATTCTTTTTTTTCCTTAAAAGCTGCCATTTAATGTAGGAAAAATTTGTAAGTGAATGGTATACTGTGTCATTAAAAAAAAATGTATGCACATGTATATCCAGAATGCATGTATGCAGGGTATATAAATGTGTTATACACAAGAGTATTGGCTTACAGAGAAATTTTCTCAGGGCATGAAATTAAAATATTAGCATCAGTAATTAATTTGCGCTGCTCTAGCACAGTGATTTCTCCTCCTTTGCTTTGGAGAAGGTCTGTGAGGAAAAGAAAGTGCAGTTGACACCTAAAACAGAGCAATCCAGTGTCATCTCCTTAAGGGTAATGCAAATATTATTTTAGTAAAGCAGCCAGCTGTGGAGAGAGGGTAGAATCTTAGAGAGGATAGAGTGAGACATTACATTCAGTTATGGGCTCCCTTTTGTTTCTAAAACCAGTTGTCTTCCATAGAAGCAGAGTGCGACCCTTGTGAGTGCTCTGCAAGGGTTCTGTCACAGGCTCAGCGGTGCAGAGTTGATCCCCAGCTCATCAGCTCCGAGCCAGGTAAATCTGAGGAAGCTGTTTAAAAAAAAAGCAGTGTCACTGTAGAACTGCTGCTTGGTACACAGGGTTGCCTTGCTGGGAAAAATCCCAGAGAAGTATTCAAGGCTTCAGAAGTTTTCCCAACCTGTGCTGGGCTGAACCAGAAACTTCCCAATTTTTTTTTTTCAAAAAGGGGCAGTCTTAAGGTTGCTCAGATGCTGATCACTAGTTTGGATAAGGTAGAAGAGGGACTGCAGATGACTGCAAAGTTACTTCTTTTAGAAATTAAATTGTCCAGCTGCTGCCAAGGGAAAAAGAAATTAAAATATAACAGTGCAGCTTTTAAGCCTGTACATACTGTTTTCTCCATTAATTCCTGGAAGGTGACTTGGTTTCTTAGAATAATTCACCAGCTAATTC